TCTGCTTTATTTTTATAAAATATTAGAATAACCAAGTCTTAATCTGAGTGGAATATTGAATTAATATTTCCAATACCAACATTAACAATGTTGTTGAATAGAAAGCAAATATCAATACGCGCGCGAACACGAACTTGAAGTCCATCGTTTATAAATGATGTGCACTAAGGTGCACCCGTTTGAGTCCTTTGACCTTTCCAGCATGGTTTCGGCGACGAACCAAATCCCAACTGCGGGACGCTTCATCATGTATTCTGATCATTCTCTAATTTTGGCCAACCCTCGAGAAAAAACGGCAGAGAATGTACGCAATAGAAGTAGGATGTTCTCAATATATCTGCAATAGAGGGTGTTTTTTCTTCAATATGTCTGCTCTAGGGGGTACTAAATTTACAGTGCGGCCGCAATAGGGGGTATGGTTTGCCAATGTGCTGCCAGCCCTAGGGGCCTATTATGTTTTTTTAGCAAGAACGCACATGGTGTAATGTTTTTATATAGAAAGACCCCCGAGGTTCCAATGACGGTGTGCAAAAGTGCTTGGGTTAGTACAATACAAGAATTAATAATACTTGAACAGCAAAAACATTGCGACACGCATAGCTGTGGTAAAATCTTTTCACTCGTATTGTTTTTTGCGCCCTGCTCAGACAATTTTTTCATTCAATGCTCGTAATATTGTTTATATTATATTTTGTCGTTTATAGAGCACAGTACAAACCATCTAAAATTATTAAAAATAATTCACTAGTCTGGGTTCAATATGGAGTGTTTGCTGTAAAACCTGGTGACTCTAATAATCGTAGCTGTGCGGGCACTCTATATGATGCATCACTGTCACTAGATGCATAGCTGTCGTTCTTTGCACATTTAACTTTGATGGCAGGGTGGGGTGAAATAATCCTGCCGCCGATATCATAATAACGATATACCGTTGCAGTACTGCAGCCAATGATTGCTAACAACCAAACAACTCCTCGGGTGATTTTGAACAATATTTGTTCAAAAGTGTGATAATTTGAAAAATAGGCTCGATCAAGCAATGTTTCCAATATGTACACGGACAATTTTGGGTATCACTGTATTTCAAACCATTTTTCAAAACTAGCACATACAGATTACGTACCATTTTACGCTACAATAATGTGGATTTCATTATTTAGTGTTCGAACGTCCTCTACGAATACCTTAAATAATGTTTGTCGCGTACAAGCAGTCTGAAAATGGAATGCGCTGTGTCATACCATGTCTATTTTATTGTGTGGTTGACTTTTCAGAGGTCAGAGTCTCAGATGTGCTGGTATTGTGAAAGCCCCTTGTTGTATATGTGAATGAAACGATGATTATTTGAAAATAGATTGAAATAGATATAAATAGATATAAATATAATCCATTCTCTCTAACTAGAGTGTGTTGTTTTTCTACTCGTTTGAAAAAAAACCACATATTAGAACGGATGAGTATGTCGCCGCAAGAGGGCGTGATCAACGACGATAACATAATTTTGATGATTAAAGGTTATATTATGTTGAGCATTTTCTACAGGGTATTTTAAATCATGTTTTGTAGGTGTGGAAAGGGAGTCTTTGAATGAGTAGATCATCTCTAATTATCACATTCTATATATTAAGAAAACCGCAACAGATCCAGTCTTTGAAATTCAACAATTTAAATTACAATGTGTATTTAACACAATGCAAAACCTCAAAGGTTAAATCTCACAGATCATTCTTGATTAGATGCACAATATGAATGGGATTAACAATTATATATGCAGGGGGTGGGGTAATATTGGAGTTTTCAAGTTTCGGTGTCTGTGTGTCATGAAAATCTCAAGAATATTTTAAGGCAATCTGGTACAGGTGTGCTTTTGGATACTCCTCAGATCTGATTAGGGTGTATATCAAATATGTTAATTTCATAAATTAGCTAATTTGCATATTTTTGGACCAAACTTAGTGGGGATATTAAATGACCTGTTTTAACACAGATTGTTGTGGCTGCTAAATGTGACAAAATTTAATTCATTTGCATAGAAATAAAACAAAAAATACACTACTTTATTTAGTGAACACCTTTACATAAATCTAGTCACTGCACAAATACTAGTCTTACAATGATTGGTTTGGTTATTTTTTCCTGCCATCAATGTATTGTACAAAATTGGACTGGACTTAGTATGTAATATATACTTTCCATAAGAAATGCATAATTGAATTTCTATGACTGAATAAATGCAGGGTAATATTGAAATCTTAATTGAGAGTATAATTACCACGCCAACCAGCATCAATTGATCTGAACAAATGGGAAACCCTTTTATCTATAGTGCCACAAAGGTAAAAATATTATCTGGACATATAGTCTACTCTTAATGCGGGAAATGAAAGCACATGACATGTACACAAGAAGTTAAATTAACATGTGGCCATGTTTTTGTTCACTGGTGCCCCCCCCCCCCATCTGGCGCGACCACAGGACTACTTATATGGGACAGTTTATCAAACATACGGACAAGTCCTACATTTAGGAGTACATATATTTATTTTACAGTGTTAGGGAATCAAATTATACATCAAGCATTGACGAGCAAGCTTGTGCCTCTCTCGAATTAACTTGTGTGTGGTCCTGTGGGAACATCTTCTGCTCAAACAGCAAAAAGACGCACAACGCGCGCATTGATTTACCGGGAAGTAATTGTGAGTATCGGTTGTCGATGCAGTAGCGAGAGATGTCAGCCTTTTAGAAATCACACATGAATTTACATCCAGCTAAAATGTATGCGGCAAGTAAGTAATAATACACACAATTTTTTTGTTTCTCACTTTTATTTTACACAGTCATTAGATCATCAAGATCTGGATTATGTTGTCTTAAATATTAAAAAATTAAAAAAATGTATTAAACAATATTAATATTATATGTTATCCTTTGATACCCAACCTCTGAGGCTCTGAGCCTCTGACCTTTGAAAAGTCAACCACACCACACCATTTTATAGTACTTTAGCGGAATTTCTTTTTTATAGCGGATAACAGACGCGCACGCAATCGTGAAGTGGAAGCGCGCGCAATAGTCTTCGTTGGTGGCGGCTCTTTTAAATATTGATAACTTAAGGCTTTTTCTATTCACACCACAAGCGTTAGTATTCAGTTTGTGTGTATATTTAGTACGTATATTATTATTAATATTTTACTAATAGCTAGTTTCCCGTGGAACCAAAGGCATGTTACGTTCACATTATTCCACAAATCGTCCAAAACAAAATATATCACTGATCCAAAATGTGTGCCCATTGCCCTTGGTATATCTTGGCTCCGCGCTGAGGTGGGAGGAGTTGAGACTATTTCACAAAGGATGGCACAATGCATTGACAATTTTGGGGTTTTGAAACAACATTTTGGGTCGTTGTTTTATAGTTTATTATTAGACTCAAAACGTTAAGAAATTAATTCCCGGAAATATAGCCTCTTTTTTCATCTTTCGCTTACACATGACTATGACGGATAGTACAAACC